TTTTTGATTGTTCATTGTTAGCATACAGTGAACACTACACTGATTTTTACATATTGGTGTTGTATCCTACAAATTTGCTTAATTTGTTTATTAGTTCTAATGGGTTTTTTGGTGTATTGATTCCTTAGGCATGTCTATATATAAGGTGATGTCATCTACAAATAGAGATTGTTTAATTTCTTTTCTTCTTTCTGGATGCTCTTTCTTTCTTTCTTACCTGATTGCCACAACTTGAACTTGCAGTTCACCTATGTCTTATTCTTAAGGAGAAAACTTTCTGTCATTCAGCATTAAGTATAATGATGACCATGTGTTCTTTGTAGATGCCCTTATTCAGGTTGAGGAATTTCCTATCTTATAATGTTAGTGTGTTGAGTGGGTTTGTTTTGTTTTGTTTTGTTTAAGGGTGTTGGATGTTCTCAAATGCTTTTTCTGCATCTAATGAGATGATTATGTGTTTTTTCTTATATTCTTTCAATATGACATAATACATTGATTGAGTCAACCTTACATTTCTAGGATAAATCTCACTCTGTCATGGTATATAATTCTTTTAATATGCTGCTAGATTTAGTGTGCTAGTATTTTGTCAGATTTTTGCATCAGTGTTCATAAAGGATATTGATTTATAATCTTCTAATGTCCTTGCCTGGCTTTGGTGTCAGGACAATACTGGCATCAAACAATAATTAGGAAATATTCCCCCACTTTTTTTTTTTTAGTACAGCCTGAGAAGGATTGATAAAAATTCTTCTTTATACAGTTAATAGGATTCATCAGTGAAGCCACCCATTTCTGGACTTTTCTGTGGTGGAAGTTTTTTTTTTGCTTGTTTGTTGTTGACTATATTCCCTAAGCTGTACTTTTTTCATAACTAGAAGTTTGTACCCCTTAGTTCCCTTCATCTGTTTTGCCCATCCACTTCCCCTCTGGCAACTACCAGTTCTTCATATGTAAGAATCTGTGTTTTTGTTTGGGGTTTTAGATTCCACCTTTAAGTGACATCATATGGTGTAAGTGACATCATATGGTATTTGTCTTTCTCTGACTTATTTCACTTAGCAAATACCCTCAGTGGTAAGATCTCATTCTTTTTTATGGCTGAGTAATATTCTATTCCATATATACCACATCCTCTTTATCCATTCATTTCTGGATGGACACTTAGGTTGCTTCCATATCTTGGCTATTGTAAATAACGCTGCCATAAACATAAGAGTGCAGATATCTTTTTGAATTAGTGTTTTCATTTTCTTTGGGTAAATATTCAGTAGGAGAATCACTGGATCATATCTAGGATCCTGCATACTGTTTTCCACAGTGGTTGCACCCATTTACATTCCCACCAACAGCACACGAGGATTCCCTCTTCTCCACTTCCTCACCAACACTTGTTATCTCTTGTCTTTTTGATATTAGCCATTCTGACAGGTGTAAGGTGATGTCTCATTGTGATTTTCATTTGCATTTTACTGAGGATAAGTGATGTTGAGCATCTTTTCATGTGTCTGTTCACCATCTGTAGATCTTCTTTGGAAAAATGTCTGTTCAGGTCTTCGCCTATTTTTTAATCAGATTGCTTAGGTTTTTGGTGTTGAGGTGTGTAAATTATTTATATACTTTGGATATTAACCCCTTATCAGATCTATTATTTGCAAGTATCTTCTCCCATTCACTAGGTTGCCTTTTTGTTTTGTTGATTTTGATTTGGTTTCCTTTGCTATGTAAACCCTTTTTATTTGTTGTAATCTCAAGTTTATTTTTGCATTTGTTTCTTTTGCCTGAGGAGACATATCTATAAATATGTTGCTAAGGCCAATATCTAAGAGATTACTGCCTGTTTTCTTTTAGGTGGTTTGTGGTCTCAGGTCTTACATTTAGGTCTTAATCCATTTGAGTTAATTTATGTGTATGATATAGGAAAGTAGTCCAGTTTCATCCTTTTGCATGTACCTGTCCATTTTTCCCAGCACCATCTATTGAAAAGACTTGTCTTTTCCTCTTTTGTATATTCTTGCCTCCTTTGTTGTAGATTAATTGATCAAATAAGCATGGGTTTATTTCTTGGCTCTCTGTTCTGTTCCCTTGATCTGTTTATCTGTTTTTGTGTCCGTGCCATAGTGTTTTGATTACTTGAAATCTGGCATTATAATACCTCCAGTTTTGTTCTTCTTTCTCAAGATTGCTTTGCCTGTTTGAGGTCTTTAGTAGTTCCATACAAATTTTAGTATTATTTGTTCTAGTTCTTTGAAAAATGCTGTTAGTTTTTTTTATAGGAATTGCATTGAATCTGTCAATGGCTTTGAGTAATATGGGATTTTTAACAATATTAATTCTTCCTATCCATGAGCAAGGTATATCTTTCCATGTGTTTGTGTCATCTTCAGTTTCTTTCATCAATGTCTTGTGTTCAGAGTATAGATCTTTCACTTCCTTGATTCAGTTTATTCCTAGGCATTTGATTCTTTCTAGTACAGTTGTTTGTTTAATTTCTCTTTCTGCTTTCATTATTAGTGTAGAGAAGCACAACAGATTTCTGTATATTGAGTTCATATCCTGCAAATTTACTGCATTCATTTATCAGTTCTAATGGTGTGTTGGTGGGGTTGTTAGGGTTTTCTATTTATAGTATCATATCTTCTGCAAATAGTGAGAGTTTCGCTTCTCCCTTACCAATATAGATGCCTTTTATTTATTTTTTTTCTTGTCTGATTGCTACAGCTAGGACATTCAGTGCTATGTTGAATAAAAGTGATGAGAGTAGACATTTCTGTCTTGTTCCTGATCTTAAATGAAAAGCTTTCAGTTTTTCACCATTGAGTATGATGTTAGCTCTGGGTTTTTCATATATGGCCTTTATTATATGAAGGTATATTATCTCTCAATTTATTTTGTTGAGAGTTTTATCATCAACAGAATTTGTATTTTCTATCAACAGAAAATGCTTTTTCTACTTCCATTGAAATTTCCATATGGTTCAAGGCTGTTTTGATTACTGATGGAAGTTTTTTGATTGTTATAGTCTCTTTATTTGTTATGAATTTATTTAGATTTTTTATGACTTCAGTTTGTTTTTGTACTTTGTCTCTATCTCGTATTTACTACTTCCTTCCTCTGCTTTGGGCTTAGTTTCCTTTTTCCTTGCTCCTCAATGTGGAAGTTTAGATTATTGTTTTAAGTTCTTTCTCCTGCATATGGGCTATATGTTTTGTTTCTTTGTATGTCTCAAAAGTTTTTTGTTGAAGCCTAGACATTTTGAATATTATAATGTGTCTACTTTAGAAATCAAATTCTATCTCTTCCCTAAGGGCTTGTTGTGGCTACTCTTTGTAGTTGTCTATTTGTTTTTTGTTGTTGTTTAGTGACCACTATGAACTAATTCTGTGGTCTCTGTTCTTTGTTATGTGTGGCCATTAAAGTCTCTGCTCCTTTAGCTAAGTGGTGGGCTACTGGCTAGGTTGAGTCTTAAATTCCTCGAACTAGAATATCTCCCAGTCTTTGCAGAGGAGCTCTGAGTGTGTGTTGGGGCAGGTCTTCAAAGTCAACCAGGCAGTTTGCCACCCTGTGTTCGCAATCACTTACTGCTTGCACAAAGCCTCAGGGTCAGCTGGGAGCCTTCTCATGTCTTTCCTAACCGTGAACACAACGCTGGGCTTGTGCATGGTCTTCCCACTTCCCAGGAGTATGTCTGAGATTTTTAGAGACTTAATCCCCAAAGCATCTCCTTCTCCAGCCTTTCCTCCCAAGCTATTTGTTTAGTCTGCTATTTGCTCTGTTATCCATTGCCTCAGACAGCCACAACTAAAACATTTGCCTGTAAATGTTTTCCACAAATGGCTTCGGATAACAACTTCAGCATTAGGTGCATTCCCTGTTTGGTGAGACAAAGACAAGCTTTTTGAGCCAGTCTTTCCAGGGAGCCACACAGATGAGGCAAAATAAATAAATATAGTTTACTCCCTCTGGTACTATTACTAAGAACGTAAGCTGTTATTTTCAAGACTACAGCAATGCTGAAGAACAATGGGTGAAACTAGGGTAAGTTAGGATGCCACAGAGTTCACTATTCTTGCCAAGATCCAGCTGATTTTCTTCATTATTTTCTTGATTGCTGCAAGCTTTTCGTTAGTTTTCAGAGTTCTAAAATGTTGATTCTAATAGGTTTTGCCAGTTTTTCTACTGATTTTATGCATTGGGAGACTTTCAGAGTTCCTTACTTCACCATTTTTGCTGATATCACTATTTTCTTTTTTAATTAGGATTTTGCTCTAATGGTTAAGTTCAATGTAAGGGATTGCAGTAGGGTTAGTTTTAAACATAAGGGAAATATTAGGGTGTTTGTTGTTTTTGTTGTATGACTAAAAGCTGTCACACCTGTATCTGAAATGGGATATTTGTGCTTTATTATGTGATGTGTAGTCTTCTAAATGCTTCCTAAAACTTGGATTGAATTTTGGCCCTTGAATAAATGTAGAGCCATGAAAATTCAGAGAAAAGTATAACAGAAAAGAATCTAAAAAATGGGGGAAGGGGCAAATGGAAACCAAGCATTGATACATAAATGAAGACATGTTTTTCAGATGACGAGCCCAGTACCTGTAGGAGGATATAATGATAGGAAAAGACAAGTTAGAGAAACTCGACTCATTTACAGCAGGGGTGGAAGAGAAGTGTAAGGAGGAAGAGAGGAGGTCCAGTGCTATGAGTAGGCTATAGGCCAGTGAGCCCAAACAGCACAACAGTGAACATTAGGTTAGTAACCTTGTTCATATCATTAGCATGGTGCTAGAGCCGTTTTTTTTTTTTTAATGTAAAACTAAAATGGGATATTTCTTTGTATACCCACACATTTTTAAAGGGACATGTATTTTAAAATTATATTCTGCCATTTTAAAACAAAATTATGTTGGTTCTTTTTGTTTGTCATGGTGTTTGTGTGTGTGTGCGTGCGTGCGTGTGTGTGTGTGTGTGTGTGTGTGTGTTGTGATTTTGTTTGGTAGCAAGGAGCTGTACCTCCTACCAGTTCAGTTCCTCCTGTTGCCGGGGCCCCATCTGTTGGACAACCTGGAGCAGGATTTGGAATGGTGAGTGGCGACTCGTGCTAAAAATTGTAATTGATGTGTTTGAGGCCTTTGCCAAATCCTGGTTAACAAATACTACTACAGAATATAATTCTTCCCCGAATGCAGTAAAGTAGAACAAAAAATTAAGTCATCTGCCTTAGACATTAGGAAGTCTACACATGACATGATAAAGTCGGCTAATAAATATTTAAAATCGGGGTGCCTGGGTGGCTTGCTCAGTTGAGCATCCAGCTCTTGGTTTTCTGCTCTGGTCATGGTCCCAAGGTTGTGGGATCGAGCCCCACATTGGCCTCCACACTGAGTGTGGAACCTGCTTAAGATTCTCTGTCTGTCTCTCTCTCTCTCACAAATAAAATATATTTAAAATAAGTTCTTCCACCAAAATAATTTCTATAGTATATAGTTATGTCATTTTTGGAATAATATTTACCAAACATATTCTTAGCTCAATTATCAAAATCAACTCTTAATCACTATACTAAGACTTTTCACTTCTCACTTTTATGACTAGACATATTAGGACTATGGTCCATGAATCAGCACGGTTTTATCTCTTAAGAATTAGGCTTACAGAAGACAAGTACTCACCAACAAAGCCTTGTTGGGATAAGGATGCCATGTGGCCAGCCAGGCTTCTACTATATCAGTGATTCTTTGCTATCTGCCAGCCTGATGGCCCCATTGTTTAAAATTACAAGTTATACTTCCTCACAGACCTGCATTCCTCAACAATTTTCAGAAACCTATTAAAGACATAACATCAGGGCATTACTGTTGCAGGATTCTTTACCTCAGGTTCACTGTCTCACTCTTTCAAAGAATAAAGGCAGAATAAAATGAGCAGTAGGCAACAGTTTGTTGGAGTATAAAATCAGAAAGTAAGAATAGTTTGAAAGCTCTTCTTATAGAGAGGGGCCATTTGAAAGTGAATCCTCACAGACTGTGGGCAAGGGGCTTTGTTTTATAGGGTTTTGCTCCACCCCTTTCTTTTCCCCTTGTTTTTTCTCAAGTCCTACCCTTATTAGCTAGGTAACTTGAAATGCCTAGTCATTCCTTTTTGATTGGGTCATTTCCACTGTATGAGGAGCGGTCTGTGGCCATACCATTCCTCGTGGGTCATATGTTTTATGGTCTACTGCTTATTTTTAGTTATCTCTTTTATCAAATTCCTGAGGGAAACCTGAGGGGAGAGTAGGTGGTGTCTGCTACATTCTTAAGAGGAACTTTACGCCCGATGGGGGTTTGCTGTGGTCAAGATGCTCCCGCATGTTCTAAAAAGTCCTAACATTTCCCTCTCTGCCTATTTCATCCTATCTTTTCCCCATCATATTACCATGGTGGATTCACATATGCTGTGAACCACTCTTCCTTTTCAGCCTCCTGCTGGGACGGGCATGCCCATGATGCCTCAGCAGCCAGTCATGTTTGCCCAGCCCATGATGAGGCCACCCTTTGGAGCTGCAGCTGTACCTGGCACACAGGTCAGTATTTTAAGGTCCTCAAAATAATGACATTAATGTATAAGTATAAAACTGCCATGTAGCAGGCTCTTTAATCTTTTACCTGATATAATCCTTGTATCCATTGCTTCAGCATTAAAGGGAACATGAAAGATTATCAATACTGTGAGAAAAATGGATAGAAGCAACTTACTATCCTAAGTCCCTCCATTCCTCTTCTCCTTAATTCAGAATAGTTCCTGAGAACAGCTAGACATTTAAAGTATCTGAGCATTTATTCCAGAAAAATGAGTACTTCTGATTCATAGTTTTATTATGCGTTCCCAGGGTTAGCAAAACCCAGGGATAGGGACACAGTCCTCCAGACTGCGAGGTTTGCCCAGAAGCTGCAATGCTAACAGCAATGAGTTTGCCAAACTACAGAGTCTAGGGGAGCAGTCCCTCTTGTTGCAGGATTTTTTTTACCACAATACACAGGATTCATTGTCTCACTGCTTTGAAGAATGAAGAAGTGGACACAAAATGAGCAGCAGGCAAAAGTTTATTAAGAGTATAAGATTAGAGAGGAAGAATAGCAGGGAAGCTCTCTTCACAGAGAGGGAATATTTGAAAGTGAATGCCTTGTTTTATAAGGTTCTGGTCACCCCTCCCCCTCCCTTCCCTCCTGTTCCTTCTCAGTTTCTACTGTCATTGGCTTGATAGCTCTAGGTGTTGGGCTGTCCATTCCTGATTGGCTCATTTCAGTTGTAGGAGGGGTGGTCTATGGCCATACCTAGGTCTTTTGTCAAATTCCTGAGGGGAACCTGAGGGGGAATAGGTGGGGTCTGTTACACTCTTAAGAGTAACCTTAAGCCTGAGGGGGTTTGCTGTGGTCAGACACTCCCGGCATTGTTCCAAAACATGTGTTTTTCCCCACCGAGGGACCTTAGGGCCCTAATCTTTCCCCTTCTGCCTACTGAATCCTATCTTCTCCTATCATACTGCAAGACCTCCCTCACTTCAGACACCATCCACAAGTTTGGGAGTCCCAAGAGCGACCCTCTCACCTCAGACCAGCTGCCTACAAATTTGAAGGTTCTCAGACAATTTCCTAGAATAACGCACAGAACTCTGGAAAGCATGAAATGTTTTGCAGTTTTATTATAGTGAAAGGATACAAATTAGATGCAGCCAAAAGAAGAGATGTGCAGGGTGCAATCTGGAGCTGTGAAGGCTCCAAGCATGAAGCCTCTCTGTCCTCCAAAGTGTGTTACTCACCTTGCATCAGTGTGTAACAGTATACGTGCAGCATCGCCAACCCAGGAAGCTGCCCTGCACTTCAGTGTGCAGCATTTTTATTGAAGTGTCTGTATCTAAGAATGAATGCTTGTCTCTGTGCTTTGAACTTAATCTCCAACCCCCCACCTCACTGAAAGTCAGGCCAATATCATGTGGCCCCAAGACCCAACAGTCTAATCATACTGGTATTTCTGGTGTGGCTAGTGCCCACCCTGAGTCCTTTTATTAGCATCAACTGTCAGGTGTGGTTCCAAGTACCCATCCTGAATGACAAAGACCTCCCTATCACTCAGGAAGGTCTAAGGGCTTAGAGGTTACCTACCAGGATCCAGGACAAAGAACAAACCTCTCTTTAGATGAGGCCAAATTTCTTACTACACAGAGTGCTACCTTCATTCACAAAGAAGCTAAAGCATGTACACTTTGCTGAAATGTTTTGCTGAGAGTGATAGTCATGCTGATGAGTAACCAATCCTTGATTCCTCCTATAAATTTCCTGGCCAAGGTGGGGGTATTTCATAGAACCAAAGAGGTTTTCACCATGAGAAACTGACATGGATAGAGTCAAAACACCAAGCTATGACTTTACTAGCACCATGCTGAGCAAACCAAAACAAATAGCTCAAGTATATTGTAATGGTATCATCAAATGGTTTCACTTCTGTAATGTTTATAACTTACCAAATGGTGTTTACATTGTGTTATCCTTAGGATACCTACTTTGAACTTTCTGAGTATACTTTAATCCCTTTTGCTTCTTTTCATTGTCTCAAAAATCCATCCTGTCTTCCTGTTCCCAAATTTTATTTTCACCTTCTTTAACCCCTCAAAAGCCACAGTGACCAGAAGAGGGAATGGTGGATGTTCAAAGAGACAAATTTAGAATGTGAGAAACCCTAGCTCTCAAGGCCATACTCAAAGCACTGGCTTCCTGAGAAATTTTCTGCACTGCTCTGAGACAAATGAATCCTGCCTTGTCTGGTTTTTGAAGGGAGTGAGGAAGGTTCTGGGGGTAATAGTTGAGAAATTTAATCAAGATATATTTCAATTCTAAGAAGGATCTCATTTATTATGAATGTTTTCTTGACACCCATGACTGTTTACCACTTTTTTGAAGAAGGGCAGGACATTTCTGTTTTATTACTTGGAAGAATTATTATTGAGGCTTTTAAAATTGTACTGTATTTAGTGTGCTGAAAGCTTTAGAAATAAATTAACACAATGTTGTTAAAGTAGTTGTTTTTCTTGCATAATGCCATCATTATATAGCATGAGTTCATTTACTTAATTCAGAGAATGAAAATGAAAAATAGATGACATGATGAAAAACATATTTTAATCATTTAATTGAATTTGTAGTGATTTAGAAAACACTATGCCATATTTATAGAAGTTTCAGATTGTATTCCCATATCAGAGAAGCAGCAGAGGTGATTATACTAGGTAGTAAAGTAAATATGATTTTTACTTTAGAAAACAAAACAGTTTTTCATTACTGATGCCTGGACTCTTCCACTCTAACTCACTTGGTTGGTGTCATGATGTTGTCATCTAACCAAATTATTCATGATGAACCAACTCTTGAGTTTCTTATCTTCCAGATAACTTTGACACTTGCATTTACATTCTTCCTGATCTTCCTACGAAGTATGATTCGTGTTTTTAAAAATAGAAATTTGACTGATAGATGCTGCAGTCAGTCGTTAGTTTCTGGACATGGGAACAAATCTAAAAATCCTTACTTCTGGAACTCTATTTACTGAGCCAATAAAAACATACATCACTACCCCACAATCACAGATTTCTGAGATTTCTATCATGTTACAATGTAGGAGAATAGTTAGACTCGAAGATTCCATGTCAATTATTACCCTAGATAGATTACATGACCTTTTTCAAGGCCTCATACCCTAACATTCCTGCAAAAGCCTGCTTCCAAAGCTTATTTCCATCACGTAATGAAATAGTACAGGTATTAATTGAAGAGAAGCAAGGTAAGTTCATTCCTTGTTGCTTTTGCTAGTAAGTGCAGTATGATTTTGTCCTAATAGCATTTAGTAATGAGCCCTCTTTGCGAGCTGAACAGGCAATATTGCAATTTACTGACGTTCAAAACTGGGAAACTCTTTGCCCATTCGAAACAGTGCCCCTAAGCTTGTTTTCATTTAAAATACTTTATGTGAAATTCTAGGATATCTGGGTAATAATTTAAAGTAATTTCTTAAGTGACTTTCTGCAAATTACTTCCTTTCCATTTTTCCTTCAAACTCACTCTCACTGTAAGAAAAAGTTATTAAAATTCCTGTATTAGCTTAGTGGTACTAATAACTCAAAAATGCTTTTGTATAGAGCAATTGATTGTTGTGTTTTTTTACCCTGTATTCATAATATCTGTATGTGACTAGTTTTCCACGTCTTCCCTAACTCATACCCATATTGTTCTGCCAGAGTCCTCAAATATTACTTTGGCAAAATCTGATGTCAGAGAATTTCAGGAAAGCCAAATATCATTTGAAGTGTACTTTATGAATCCAAAATTAAACACAATACTGTAGCTGAGTAGAACAAAGTAGATTTTGTAAACCTTTAAGCCATCTGATCTTCTGCATGTTTGTTTTCTGTGGTATGTGCTCTGCCTAATGCTTACCTTTCTCTCTGTTTGATTTCTCTTTCTGCTGTCTTGGGCTGGCTTTTCTCCATTAGCTTTCTCCAAGCCCTACACCTGCCACTCAGAGTCCCAAGAAACCTCCAGCAAAGGACCCATTAGCGGATCTTAACATCAAGGATTTCTTGTAAACAATTTAAGGTATCTAATATTGAGCTTTTCCTGTGGGCTTATTAAATTGAAAACAATTTAAGGTATCTAATATTGAGCTTTTCCTGTGGGCTTTTCCTGTGGGCTTTTCCTGTGGGCTTTGAACACATCTATAGAGTAATAATTTGAGTGTTTATACTTATTAAGTCAGTATTAAAAGCCATCAATGAATTATCAGTCAATCAAAGTCATCAATGAATTAAAATTTTTCTACATCTTAATTTATAAAACTAAGAGGGAGAAAAGCCTCCAGGTTGTCCTGAAAAGCACAAAAATTTTACTGATAAAATAAAAAGTTGCCCAAGATACTTGGTAAATTAGAAAATTACCACTTCATTACCTGACGACTGGAATTTATAAAAAGCTAACATTTATAACATTGTACTTAGAAATCATCTAAGAATATACATGGCTACAAAATTGTATTTTGTCTTTGTTTATCCTTTTTCGATCTCATCAAATAAAGCTTAGATTGTTACCCTTTGCATTTCTGCATTCAAGCAGAATTTTAAATTTCTCACATTGTAGTTTTAAATTTCTAATATAATTTATGCAGTGATTATTAATGGACTATGGAAGGAAACTGATAAGGGAAAAAAGTTTACTACTAACCCCAAACCTAAAACAGTAGGTAGATTCTCAACAAATACTTGCAGAAAGTGGATAAATAGTAATAAAGCTGCTTTTTTGCACAGTACTTTGCATATCCACTTCCTAATCCTGAACTCCTCTGGTCATCTTTGTGAGAAATTAAACCTATGGAATAAACTAGCCAGATACTTTTTGTCTCTATTTCCCAGCTGAAGGAACTGATCCTTGGCATTGAGTGATTTGCCCAAGGTCACACACTAGAGGAGGAGGAAGAGTGTCAGTGTTTTTGGACCATTGTCCAATGGAATTTTTATTATGTATCTTAAGACCTATAGATATCTATATTTAAACCTTCTCTAATACCTACTAAGATTTTTGTGGATTCCTACTTGATTTTTTTTTCTTACATAAAGCTAATAAGTTTTATCATTTTAAGGCCTTGACATCCCAGCCAAGTAACTTCTCCTGGTGCCTGACTTTTCTTTTCCACCCTGGGTTGGACTGGGCTGGTGTAGGCATAAACGAGACAATGAGCACTTCTTAGCCATTAAAGTTTCAGGACTTACTAAGGATTCTGCAGGGAGCAACCTTTTATCCACCTCTTATTCAGTAAATCTCTCTCTCATCATATGCCGGAAACTCTGTTGAGCACCTGAAACAGAGATGCTTGAGACAGTCCCCACCCCCAGAGGTTCACAGCCACAAGGGAGACAGACACAGACTAATTTATGAAAAAGAGTTACCCATGTGGCTAAGCCTTCACCCCAGGAAGATTTCCTGGCAGAGGTGACTGGTAAAGCACGGACTGGCCAGAGTAAAAGGGGAAGTGGCGTTCGCAAAGGCACTGAGTCACTGTGGAAATCTCCATCTTCTGTTGTTACTTGTTCAACTGTTTAGTGACTCAGAGAACACCATAACTGAAAAGAAGCAAAAACTAATGAAAATCACTGCTATTCCTTCCGCCCCCCGCCCCATTCTAAGCTGAACTGTTCTTAATTAATAGCAAATGTCTCACTACTAAGATTTCTAGTAAGTATCCGCATTTCAAAATTTTGCTGATATTATTTTTATCTAAAATGAAATTATACATTAAAGTTTTTTTAAATGTGTTCCTGGATAAAACTTTAAGCAAAGAATTGTGAGAAGTATATAAATGTGAATTTGTTATGCAGAAACCTTTTGTATGGAGATTTTTCATACTAACTATGAAATAAAAATTGAAAGGGAGGTAATATGTTTGAGGAATGTGTAATATTGTTTCTAATTCAAGTGTTTTTATCTTTACAGCTGCAATTTTTGTGACTGAATAGGAAAAAATAATGAGTTTGGAGACTTGAAATAAAATTGATGCTCAGAGTTTCAAAGTGAGCCACCAGTACCAAACCCAATGCTTACTTGTAACTTCTCTTCCAAAATGTGTAGCACAGCTGTGAAAGTGAACATTAGGAATGTGTACTACCTTAGCTGTTATCCCTACTCTCAAAATTGTAATGTATTTGGGTTATTTGTGTGTTGTACGATGTAAAAACAATGAATGGATGTGTCTGATGCCTTTAGTGCTTTTCTGGACCTCGCCCATGGACGGATGACGCAGCTGTTGTGTGGTGAGCCATTTGGAAAGATGTGTCTGTGTTTTTGAAGTTTTCAATGTATATAAGACTTTTGGACAAACTTAACCTCTCCCCATGAATTCTCTTTTCTCCGTATCTCTGTTACAACATAGTGTGATGATATCAAATAGTAAGGAAAACACTCTTAAATATACAAAACTTTTTCGGTGTGGAGTACATTTTTCCAATCACAGGAACTTCAACTGTTGTGAGAAATGTTTATTTTTGTGGCACTGTATATGTTAAGAAATTTTGTTTTAAAAAAAATATAAGGGTTAACGTCCATAATAAATATTTCTCCTTGAAGCTACCTTATCAAGAATGAAAAAATTATATGGAAACAATTCCATATTTGATCACTGCTATATTAAAATGTATATTTTGATTATATCTGACAGGTTTTGCATCTAAATTGACCTATTTATTCATTCTTGATTAAATGCACTGAAAAGTAAAAGGGTCTGCTTCTATCATGTCCATGAAAATGAAAATTAGAGATGTGCTATTCAGATGATTATGAAGGCACCCCGAGGTATATCTGTAATTTAAAGATTACTGCAAATATTTTTGTTTTATTGTGGGTTTTATGTACATCTGTTAATTTAGTATTTCTTTGTGTGTTCTGTAGACTAGTGTTCTTCCATCCCTCAATTGAGCTCAAAGTAGGTTTTGTTGTACCATTGTGATTAGAATTTAAACTAATTCAGAGAATTGTATCCTTTACTGTACATACTGTATTCTTTAATTTTTAATTTGTTGTCATACTGTATGTGCTGATGGCTTGGCTTAAGATTTTGATGCATAAATGAGGTCACTGTTGATCAGTGTTGCTAGTGGCTTGGCAGCTCTTTGTAAAAGCATACTGGGTTGGAAAGGTGTTTGCCTATTTTTCAAATACTTTAATAGATGTATGGTACCATTTAAAAGTGGTTGTATCTGAATTTACTGTGGGGATAACATACACTGTAATGGGGAAAAATTACCTAAAACCAATTTCAAAATGGCATTTCTTTCTATTTCAGTTCAAAAACCCAGTGCATGTACGCCCTCTGAGATGCAATAAACACCTTGAACAAAGAAACTGCAAACATAATCTTTCTCTTCTTGATTATTTTTTAGAGAAAATGTCTGCTTCAAATGACACACAGCATATACAAATATTGAACATTTAAACACATTCACAGTGAGACATGCTGGCCATGCCAACATCGTTTTGATTATTTTACAGTAAATCAAAAACAAGGGAAAAAGTAACATTTTAATCAGCTGTCATTAAACTTGGGACTCCATGGATGCTGCCAAATAAACAAATTCCAGATTTCAAAAAAGAAGAGGATGACTATCTTTTAAATTATGCATCTCTCTAATAGTTTGGTGAGAATTATCCGTGGAAGTTGAAAAACAAAAAGACTTTAGACTATAGTCTGCACACACACACTTGCATGCCCATGCACTCGGACCCAAAAAGCTAGATCAGCCAATTTTATTATATCCTATCATATCGTATTTTGTTATGTTACATTATATTATATTATTCTAGTTTATACCTATAACTAGAATATAACAATAAATCAAAAAGTAGGCCAATCTCAAATAGAAGTATTGCTCAGCTGGAACCATATCCTTATTTCTAAAACTATCTTTCCCTTAACTGCAATTTGTATCTTGAGAACTAACTTTCAGAAGGTAGTATCTGATTATGTAATATGATTTTTGTAGATTAAATTTTGGTCATATTTTGGCATATTGTAATACAAATATATTCTAGTCTTTAAATAGTTTTAAGTTAATACTGTATTTTTTTTTTTTAGTTTTCTTAATTGTTTTATTTATTTCTGAAACGGGGAGACCGTGCGAGCAGGAGAGAGGCAGAGAGAGAGGGAGACACAGAATCTGAAGCAGGCTCCAGACTCTAAGCTGTAAGCACAGAGCCCGACATGGGGCTCGAACCCACGAGCTATGAGATCATGATCCCAGCTAAAATCGGATGCTTAGCTGATTGAGCCACCCAGGAACCCCTAATACTGTATTTTTTTTTTTTTAACAAATAGTCTATTGTCAAATTAGTTTCAACATAACACTCAGTGCTCATCCCCACAAGTGCCCTCCTCCAT